AACTATTGGAAATATCAATTTTTTTTATTTGAATAAATTACTCTCCAAAGCTTTACCTATGCAGTGGTACATGTCTTATAATTTTAGAGTAAAAGGTGCTTTCAATATTTTAATAAATATGACGTAAAGTTAGTTAATGCGGAGCCCGGTGGTTTCCGCCGCCCTGGTGAGTCCACCGTCCTATTAACGGCATCGCGCTGCTCGCGTTCAGTTCGTGCATATAACTAAATGATTTCACAGTCCTTCCATTTGACGACCTGAATGTTTTTAGTTTTCATAAGAGGGTCCGAAATTTTTAGGAAAACGACATCAATTTAATTTGATAAAATAATGGAGCTGAGTAATTTACCTTTTTTTAATCGCTATCGGAACTATTATTTTCTGCTTCAAGGGCTACTGGATGTTCGGTTTTCTCTTTTTGTTTACTATGTATGTTCTTACATGTTTTGCCTCCCATACAAAAACATGAGGAAATGCATGGTAACTTATTTTTTTTGCATGAGCAAACTTTGCCTCCACAGTCTTAAAGATTAAATGCATGCATATCTTATAATATGTATAGTATATTATTATCTGAAACAAAAAGTATCTTGGTAGTTTCGCACCTTTTTTACATTTGCAAGTTGTCAATATCGTGATATCTTCAGGCACAGATGGAAGTGTTTGTAAGATGGGTATTATGGTATTATCTTCATTTAATTTCCAGCCATGTAATGATAAATCTGGTAGATCAGGTCTTGGATTTAAACTATTTAGCCATATCATATTCTGATAATGTGCTCGCAAACAGTGTAAGCGCAGACTGTCTTCAGTAGGAGGAAGTTTGTCGATGGTCCGAGAAAAAGATAATGTAGCTCTTAAGTTATTTATGGAGGGGCAATTGTCTTGTTTTGTGTAGAGCCTTAGCACAAATATTTTTAGGGATTCAAAATACTTATTACTGAAGGTTCCCCTGCCTAAATCATCAGGCAGATGACTATTTGTCGTGTATATTTTCCAGCAACTTTTTTTCCCCAAACCATTGAACTGGCTGGTTGTGTCGCAGCCAGTCAAAGCATGAAAGGCTGGCAAGTTCCTTAGAAGTGCCTCCGGAAGCGTCAGTTCATGTATCGGTATAAATCTACATTTGTCTTTAAAACCGTCCTTCAACCAAATTTCTAATGACAAACTAGATTTAAAAAACGCTAACAAAATAAGTACATCTGTGTCCTGAGATTCCACTATCATTCTCGTATAACCCGCCTTTTTAGCAGAGGCTATATCGTCGTCTTGCATACGAAAAGGCGTATCTCAAAAAATCGACTTTTTTTAGATATGTCGTTCTATATATGTCTTTGGTCGATATTTTGTTGCTGTCAAACGGGCGTATCTTAATCATTATGCCCTGCGCCGTTATTTAGAAAAGTAATTTAGGCGAAACTCAATACAGGATATTATAGAAGCAGACAAAAAGGCGGATCTCAATTAGGCCCTTTTGTTTGCTTTATTATATTTATTGCCGTTGAGTTACGCCCTTTTAGTTTTATAATACACCAATCTGAACAGTCTAGGAAAAAAGAAGTATTTGTTTTGTAGTTTTGAGGCAAAACAACTTTTTTTTTTAAATAACCTTTGGGTATTTATTGAACAAATTCTATCAAATTTATCATATCGGCTTTTTTAGGCTTTAACAAATTTGAAAAATCTTTTGAAGGTATATTTTGTTGAATTCATAAATATAAATATATTCATCTTGTTCCCTAAACAATTTTGATGAGAGTCTCCTTAACTTGAATAATTTTTCTTTTGTTTCAAAATAAAAAATGTAACAAAATGGATGTGTTAGTGCGTTGGGAAGATCAAACGCTAAATGTCGTGCACTCTGATGAACTTATTATTGTAAGTAAAAAACAACGCAAATTTAGACAAGATGTGAAAGTCAAAATGTTGTATAAGAGAAAGTGGTATTTCGGGACAGTACTACAGTGTGAACAGTGCAGTGACTCAGATTCAGATTGGTCATTAGCAGACAATTTACCCCTTTCTCGCTTTTATAAGAAGCCAAAAATTAGCAAAGAAATCACATCAACTAAAACTGCAGCAAATGATCTAGTTCTTTCAGAAAATAAAACTTTAGAATCTGATCGAGTTCAAACTACAAAAAATGCCAGTAAAGCTAATTTAGTTCCATTAGACAATGATCAACAAGAAAACGACGACGTATCCAGTGAATTTGAAGACGATGATGATCCAGATAAAGATCCTAACTACGTAGATTTGTGTTCAGTGCTCAAATGCAAAAAAGAAGCTTTTCATTTTTGCAAAGAATGTGAATTGAATACATGCAAATTTCATTTCAAACAGTCAGAATGTTGCTAGCATAATACTACTGTAGCCAAAAATAAGTTCCCTAACATTAATTTTAGTACACCTATATCAGAAGAAGCAAATAAAGTGTGTTCAAATTCGGCAGATGGAGGAAAGAAAAGTCGTCAAAGTCCTTCCAGCTTTGCCCAAACATGCGAAACACAAGATTGTCAAAACGAAGTATGGAGTGCATGTACTACATGTCTAATACTTCTTTGCTGGGATCATTTTTTAGCCGATACACCGTGTGCCACACATAACACTCATTTTAGAGCCGTCTTACCATCTACACTCAACTCTACTCCTTCAGAAATCGCTTTAGATAAATCAGCGTCGACTGATTTTAGAGCACCTGAGGAATATATCGTTGAGGGATCTAGAAGAGAAATAGAGAAGCAGAAGGTTACGAAAAAAGCTACTTACAAAACCGTTCAGAAGCTAAGACAAAGTGGAAAACCTTACATCCGACCAAGAACAATGAATCTAGTGCCACCAAAAAGACTGAAAGAATATTGTAAAGGAGCGACCTGCAAAAGAAATAGAAAGAGATGCCACGATATTAAAGAGGAAGATCGACAACAGCTGCTAAATGCCTATTATGGATTAGAAAGCATTCAGCTTCAGAGAGAGTATATCTGCCGTTACGCCGATAAATTCGAAACTAAGCAGAAAACTACAAAAGACAATAAATCACGACGCAACTTTTCTTTTCACTACTTTTTACCTCTTCAAAAGGTGCCCGTCCCGGTTTGTAAGCCTTTCTTCCTAAACACATTGTCAATTAGTGAAAAAGTTATGCGTAACGCAATGGAAAAGCTTCAGTCAAGTGGGATAGTTGAAAAGGACAAACGAGGTGGACGACAAGAATCCATGAAGATCAAGGATAATATTGTAAGACAAGCAATGCAAAACCACATAAATAGATTCCCCAGAGTCGAATCACACTATTGCCGCAAGAGTTCCTCTAGGGAATATCTCCACCCCGATTTAACAATTCCTTTAATGCATAACATGTACCTTCAGTTATGCAATAAAGGTGAAGAAGGTAGCATAGATACTTATCGACGTGTATTCAAGACAATGAATTTATCAATACATAGACCAAAAAAGGATGTATGCAGCTTATGCATTACATACAATGAGGGCGACACTGAGAAGAAAGTGGAATTGGAAGAAAGATATAAGGCACACATAGAGAGAAAGGAAAAAATTCGAAAAATAAAGCAGCAGTGTAAAGATCAATCTATAGCTGACAAATCAATCTTAAGTGCAGTGTTCGACTTACAACAAGTCATTTACCTTCCAAAATCAAACGAAAGTGCAATATTCTATAAAAGGCGTCTAGCAGTTTACAACTTTACAGTATACAACTTAGCCACCAAAGACTGTCATTGCTACACATGCAGTGAAATAGATAGTAAAAGAGGTTCCTCTGAAATTTCAACATGCGTTTATAACTTTCTGCAGCATTATGACGAGAAGGGGACTGTAACAGTTAATTTATTTTCTGATGGATGTGCTGGCCAGAACAAAAATTCTATAGTTGCCTCGATGCTACTTTATTTTGTCACCAATAGCAAAAACGTTGAGCAAGTCAGTCTGAAATTTTTTGAACCTTTCCATGGACAAAGTGAAGGAGACTCCTGTCATAGCACCATTTCTACCGCAATGTCTCATTCAGGGAACTTGTTTGTTCCATCGCAACTACTGCCTATTTTGAAATTAGCAAGAAGGAAACAACCTTACATTGTAAATAAGAAGAACATACTGATTTCTTAGATTTTAAAGATTTATCAAAAAATTTATGAATTTTGAGTATCCGTGAAGACGATAACAAAAACAAAGTGAACTGGACAGATATCTCTGAGTTTAAAGTTGAAAAGAAAGAGCCCAATAAAATGTTCTACAAGTTATCCCATTGTGATGGAGCCTACAGAAGCATTACCCTAAAACGGAAACAGGAAAATATTTTTAATTTGCCTGTTGAGAAGCTGAATAAGCAAAGATCCAAAGTGACAGCCATTAAGTACGACAACTTAGTTTCACTGTGCTCTGGAAAGGACCCGGTGGTAAAATCTCTTGACCACATTGCCTTCTACAGATCGCTTCCTCATGAGTAAAATGCTAATTTTTCATTGTAGGAACATTTTGCTGGAAGTTTAGTTTAATTATTCCAACATTATTTCAAAGTTTATTATTAATTTCTTTGTACCAAAAATATATGTTTGCATTATATTAACGGGGCGTATTTTTTTACCCATCTAAAGATCCAAAAATTAGCAGCACACAGAAGGGCGTATCTCATTTTTTTGAACTTTTCCCGCTTTTTTGCATAATGTCAAAGATATTTATTCAAAACATATTTAGTGTTTAGCATATGTATTCTTTTTCGGACTGAAAAAAACTAAACTACAGCCAGAAAAATCTTATTGTATTCTTGTGGCAGAAGTTTTGATTGTATCAAGAATTTGAAACCGCTCTCCTGCAAAATTCGCATTTTTTAGATACGCCTTTTCGTGTGCAAGACGACGGTATGAAGAAGCAAACGGGTATCCGCTTCTTCATGGGTTGATTCCAACATATCATTAGTGAGTCCAAAGTTAAGTTACTTTTATATTCTAATATTGATGGAAATCCGCCTCTTGTAACGATCTCTATTTCTGTAGATAATTGATGCTCGATTGCTCGAATAAATAGTTTGATAAAAAGTTTGTAAGCTGTTGTTTATTGAATCCAGAATGAATAAAACGATGCCATTGTTGTGGTAATGGCATATCAGGTGAATTGATTATTCCTTTAATCGTCGCAAGACATCCGCTTTGTCTTTTAACTCGTGTCAAGTTCTTAATGGATTGTGTGGTGTAATGATCAAAGACCAAATCTAATCTTGAAGCATTATACTTATTTTTAGATAAGACTGAATTAAAAACATTTCCATAATACAAAAATGTTTTAGCTGCTGCGGGCTTTCCTAAGCTTTGAACAATGGACATTGCATCAAAAATGTGACAAGTTTTTTTACTGGATACCGGTAACTCTTTAACTGATGTTGTAAACTGTTCGACTATATTTCCTAGGCTGCTTTTATTTGTTGGGGTAGCTAAAATATGAGTACCCGAGAATAGTGCCATTGGAAATGTCGTTAATTCGTATTGGAAAATATCATTTTTTTCAATATTTCGTCCCATTTGGTTCGCTGCAAGAATTTGTTGCAAAAGCGATTGACACCCTTGCACAGATTTTGCCTTTTCTGCTTTCTTTGGTAGTGGTACTTGTGTCTATTTTAGTAAGTTCTGCTTTTTTATAGGTTTATAAAAATCAAAACTGTCAATAACTGTCATAAAATTCGCAAGTGCTTGTTCTCCAATATCGACTGCATTTAAAAGAGATTTTTCTATAGACTTCGCAATTATTTCATTTGTAGAAATACATAACAATTGGTCGTTACCGCAGCTAAATAGAGAAAATCTGGTTAATTGTTCTTGTAAAGTTAGCACAGTTTGCTCATCAATTTTTTTTCTTTGTATGCCACTCTCAATATTTTGGCTTATTGGGTTAATAGATTTGCTATGAGACAAAGAAAACTGAAACGAGTCCACCATAAGTCCAATTTCATTGAAGCTTAGAAACCACTCGTCAAGCCTAGTGCTATTTTTTGTCAATCCAACTATGCCACCAGTATCTTTTGACCGCTTATTGACGTGTTCCAAGGCTTGGTCCACAGATAGCTTGTTAAAAGAGCCTGGCAAACGTTTTACAACAAATTGTCCAGATTCAAACTTTTCTTTCACATACTGTGGCAAATTCAGCATATCTAATAAGTAAATCGAACCCCATCGGGCATAGTTTGTATGATCATAAGTGAAAAATAAAGGTAACATTTTATTAAAGCTCTGTAGATGTAATGTCCAGTCACCTGTCCGTTCACTATATAAAAATTGCAGAAGAATTTCGACTAACTGAATATATGAATACCAGAACTTTAAAGTTGGTACTTGTGAATCTACATATTCTTTAAAGGACTCGGATAGTTTGTTCAAAGTGGATTTCAGAGCCTGTGAATCTGTTACTGCTTGATTTTGCTTAATGCTGGTAATCATTTCATTTGCTAATATTTTTGAGTCATTTAAATATATTATGTCATTATTGTGTGAATTAATCAATCATTTTTCAAAATCTTCCATAAATTGTTGCATATGTTGTCCGATAACTTTAATGAAATTATGAAATGCCCACACTCATCCCCTTTTAACCAGTGAAGTTCTTTAGCTTTGTAGTAAATCGCCCGATCAAATGTAATAACTGTATATGGAACACTTATATATATATTTTTTTGCAATACTTTCACACCTTTTCATTACAGCCCATACCGTATCATATTCAGTTGAGACATAAGGGAGCAACGGTAAATATCCATAGGTGGTTATGTGTTCATCTGTACTTTCAGCTGCCAAAAGTTTATTAAAACCCGACCATTGCGGTACTACAACGTTGTTATCTTCATTCAATATTCTTCTTTGCAAATTTTGTTACGTGCATCTTTATTATTAATTGCTGGACTGCTCTTAGTCATTTTAAAACAGTAACTCGGTTCTATTATATGGAAACTTTCGGGAATATTCAACTTAACTTCATATGGTAGAAGATTTAACTGGTCATGACAGATCCTATTAGGAGGTCCCTGCTGAAATGCTACCATCTGGGTTGCATGAAATGTTGGGGCTTTATCCAAAGTCTCTTCTAAAATGTCTATATTATCAGCAGCAAACTGCACAAACCAATTAGGGACTAATTGTCTAGGTATAACTGTATTATTGTTTTTTTTGAACCTGTAAATTTCTTCTTGAGCAATCGAATTTCTTAGACGCAAAACCTCTTTGTAACTTATGCAATGTCCAGTAGTGTGTAAATGTTCTACCAGTTTTTTTGATCTCGTTTCCTGATGTATCATTATTCCCAAACCTATGTGCTTTTGTGTTCGTTTACGTCCTTCGGAATATGTATATATAATATCTTGACAAATAGCTAAAACTCGGGTATCATTATTTGTGGCTTGTGTTTCGTCCCAAGTTACCAGGAGATTAATTAAAAAATATAAAGTATTCGGTATGAATTGTTTATAATTTCGAATATCTAGGTTCCTAAGATCTTTATAGTCCGGGATTTTATCCATTTGTACCCTAATATCGTAACATATTTTATGTAAAACAGATAAGTCCGACTGGACAGTTAAAACTGGATAGGATTGTTCAGTTTCTTCTGTGATCATAGAGTGTAAAGCTTCTTCTTTAGATTTTTTGGGAATGATGATAAACTCTTGGTTAGGTTTTTTTGATGGAATTTTTTCAATTGTTCCAGAAAATACTCTAAGGCCGGAGTTACCCAATTCCTTAATTCTTAATATTTGTCCCTAATTCCTAATTCTCAAAAAGTTTAATCTATTTAACATTGGTGTTTTTAAGGATTAAGAATTAAGGAGTTGGGTAACCCTGGCCTAAGAATTTGTCTAATTAATTGCCTTTTTGATTTTTGTCCATTAAGCTTAAGATATTTGTTAAAAATTTCTGTTGTACCATAGCCCTTTGATTTTAAAAATCCATTTTCAATAATTTTACAAAGTCTCATAAATGCCAGTTCTCTGATTTTTCGTTTGTTGATTTTATTTATTTCTTTTAACGGTTTTATGTTTTTTTTTTATAGTGGTTTAAATGGCAAGGAATATGATACCTAATTTCCATTGCAATTGCAATTAAGTCACTGCCACCAATTCGCTGAAAAATTGATTTGTTTTGGTCAGCAATCATTTTGATTCTACTTTCCGTATTTTTAGTCAGAACCTGGCATAATCTTTTTTGGATTGCTTCTGACAAAAAAGACACTTAAGTATGGACACAGAAATTAAATTTTCGTAAACCAGATTTTACATCTTTTATTAGAGATTGACTATTATTATCGTCGGAGATTCCTTGTTTTCTAATTGCATTATCTTTCAATTTTTTAATATTTTTTTACTGGTAAAGGTAGAATAACAGCTTTTGTGCCACAATAGATCCTGAAAATTTGTAGAATTTTAAAAAAATAAAGCTTTATCACGTAATTTACTGTCCCTTTTAGCTGATATGCTTTCTCTTTCTTCTAGTTTAAAAATGTCAAAAACGATTTTTGCGACCCGGACACTAAGTTCTCGCGCTTTTTACAAAAAATACAAACTTTCTAAATTTAAATTTAATTTTGGCGTCAAGTTCAGTCACTACTGTCTGAACTACTCTCGCAAAAAGTAATATCGATTGCGTCTAAAAAATGAATTATTGATAAGCCTTTAACCCTACATAAATAAATAAATTAATAAATTACCCTTACTAGCTGCCCACAATCCAACAAAATCCAAAAAAGTTTTGGGCTTCATCAGGGCTAAAATATATATTAGGAACATCAAAAAAGTGCCAACAAAAAACTGAAGTTTACATACCTTGCACTTAAAAAATTATTTGGCCAGAATTATATAAAATAGTGCGAGATTTTCAGCATGGAACATTCGATTGCACATAACAAAATCACACTACATTGATAAAATTGTAGAATGACAAAAAAACACAAAAAAACACAAAAAAATAAAAATAGGAAAATTAAAATAGAAAAATTAGAAGGACAAAGTGATTACAGTGATATAAGCAAAACAATGACAAATAAATTATTATCTATCAGTCAACACAGTGACACCTAACGAGAAAATTGAAAAAAAAAAAAAATCAAAATTATTATCCTTTTCTTGTTGACCTTCTATTTCTATTATGTCATTATTTTTGTCCACGCTATTTTCCGTAGAGATGTTAAAGTCTGGTAAAAAAGTTTGAACCTTTGTTTTCCGAATTTGGTTAGTAGGTATGACGTTTCTATTTTTTATTAATTTCCGGAAATTGAACAATATAGGTGCATTCACCAATTAGCTTATCAATAATACCATATAATAATTTTTAACTTTATTCAATGCATCGTCACAAGCTTTTTTGCAAAAGCTTGTACAGGGTTATTCACTATATTTTGACCCCCCACCTGGAGGGGTAATTACAGGTGCTATAATAAAAAGTTTAATGCAAAAATTGTTTGATTTAAAACAAAAAATTCAAATTTGGTATAATTATTTATACAGGGTGTCCCAGAAGCGGTTCACAGATCTTAACTTGTAATTTATAAATGGGACACCCTGTATTTTATTTGATTTTTAGATTCTACGTTCAATTCTAAGACAAATCTCTATAAGATAGAACTATCTTATCTTTTACCGTTTTTGAGATAAAGGCATTTAGATTTTTTGGGAAAAAAAAACATTATCGTGATAAATGGATTGTATGGAAATTGTTGCATTAGTTCAATTTTCAAGTAACCTACTTATAAATGAAAAAATCTACAACAAAAATAACCGATAAACTACAAAAATTGTTCAAAATGACCTCCATTTTGTTCAATACATAATACGTATCGTCGTCTGAGATTTTCCATCGATCTTAAAACTCCATTATTATTTTCCGAGTTCAAGTTTGTTATTTCCTCTCCAACTTTAGTTTTAATTGCATCAATATTTTCATTATTTTTATTATACACTTTAGCCTTCAAAAATCCCCATAAAAAACTATCCAAAGGTGTGAGGTCCGGACTATTGGGAGGCCATTTTATAGTCCCTTTATTTCCTATCCAAATAGGAAACTGGGTGTTCAAGTAATCCTGAACCTCTGCTACATTGTGCGGTGGGGCACCATCCTGCTGCCATATCATAGCGTTGATTTCCTCTAACCCAAAGTTTCCATAAATTAAATCAAAAGCTTGTGAAATAATGTTATTCAAATATGTTACTCTTGTTAATGTATCATCATAAAATATAGGTCCGACTACTTTTCCATTGAAAATTCCACATCAAACTTTCACCGTTTTTCGCCCTGACTTTTTAATTTCGTTGACTTTCCTCTTTCTATGGTTTTTGTTCTCCCATGAGAGTCTATTTTGCTTATTGTGAACCCCAGATGTTGAAAATGATGACTCATCACTCCATAATATGATAGTAACCTTCGTAACATATCTTGACAAAATTCTAACCTCTTCTGTTTTTGATTGTCTGTAAGTTTTTGAACAGGCAAAATTTTATAGGGCTTGTAAGAATACTTCTTCAAAGTTCTTTGAATTTTTGAATAACTTCTTTGAAGATCACTTGCCGCTGTATGCAACCCAGTTTCAGAATGTTCTAAAATAAATTATTGTTCAGAGAATAAAAATTATTACGGCAAACTTGAACACTAGTCAATTATTTAAAGTTACTGTTTGAGGGAGGTTTACCAATAATCAACGTTTAAAGTGACACTTTCGCATGTAAAAATGTCACTTTAAGCGTTGATTATCGTTAAACCTCCCTTAAAATGATCGGTGCGAATGGCCAAATGATTATCATTTAAATTATTTACCTTCATAATAAAGCAATATATCCAGATCAGCGTCATTGTTATTGATAACATGTCTGCCTCGTCTTTTAAGAGAATATGTATTTTGCAGCTGCCTATAGGTATTCAAAAAAGTGTTGACGCTTGGGACTGGACGATCGGGATATAATTGTGAATATTTCCTTCTCGCTGCCCTTTTGTTCTTATTATTTTTTACATAAAGGGAAACAATTTCAAATTTTTCTGCCTCACTGTATACCATATTGTCAATTAAATAAGAAAATAAATTATTGAAATTAGGTATAACCACATACATTGACGTTTGTTGTCATAGTTTACAATAATAAAATTTTTGTTTTTGCATGTCGAACTACCCTAGAATAATCCAAATTCGTCTCAATTCTTTCAAAATATCTAACCGCCTTTATCTCGAACATGGTAAAAGATAAGATAGTTCTATCTCACATAGATTTGTCTTTGAATTTAACGTAGGATCTAAAAATGAAATAAAATACAGGGTGTCCCGTTTATAAATTTCAAGTTAGGAGCTGTCGACCGCTTCTGTATAAGTAATTATCCAAATTCGAATTTTTTGTTTTAAATCAAACAATTTTTGTATTGAACTTTTTTTTGTAGCATCTGTAATTACCTCTCCAGGTGGGGGGTCAAAATATAGTGAATAACCCTGTACAAAGGATTCAATATTGTTGCTAAATTAGGTACAAATTTACCATAATAATTAATCATACCTAGCACCGATTGTAATTCTTTAACGTTTTTAGGCGCAGGAGCATTGCACTTATTTTTTCAGGAGTAGTATGCAAACTATAATAGTTAGCATACTTTATCCTGAAAAAAAGTACATTTTTCAGGCTCAATTTTCAACCCTACGCTTTGCAGTCTAGACAATACTTTAGTCAATCTGGATAAATGTTCGGAAGAATCTAAACACACTGAAATATCATCCAAAAAACAAACACATCCATACATATCCTGTGTCAAAAACTACTTTATTTTTTTGGAATTTTGATGGAGCACACGCAATTTCATATGGTAGTCTTTGATACTGAAATAGACCCTTGTGAGTGGAAATTGTGAGTAATTTTTTAGATTTTTCATGAAAACAAGTCTGCGCATAAGCTTGTGAAAGGTCGATTTTTGAGAAAATTACACCCTCCTGAAGTTTAGAGAATAAATCTTCTATACGAGGCAATGGAAATTGATCAATTTCTAAAACAGGATTCAGGGTTACCTTGAAATCGCCGCAAATTCTAACTGCACCCGATTTTTTAAGAACTGGCACAATAAGGTGCTCTTAAGATAGGGGTTTCAGTGTCTGAATGGACTGTTTTTGTTCCAGATCCAGTTTTTTCCAATTATTTTTTGTCTTGATGAGGCGATCTTTTATTTACTTAAGGTGGTCCTGGTTTAGGTGATTTATTTTCACGTAAGCAAGTATCACTTTTTTACTATCAGGTTTAATTTGAATGACTGATATTATTCCAATATTTCAAAGACTATTGGTCTTCTTTTTTTTTTTATTGTGAATTTCACTATGAGTTTCACATATAGCTGACATATTATGTGATGATGGTGGTTTAATTATACTAATAGGAAGTGTGTCTAAAGGTGGACGCGGAAGAGGATCAGCATTCGAATTTTTTGTTCTCTTTTTGTATCAAATCGAATAATCATATTCTTGGAGTTTCAGTCTTCATCGAACTAATTTTGAACTTGGGTCTTTTACTGAAAAGAGCCATTGCAGAGGTTTGTGATCAGTCACGATAGTAAATTTTTGACTAAATAAGTAGGGTCTAAAGTATTTTGAGGATTTTGGACA